TCCTGTAGCTGAACTGCTGGACGTGTCTTTAAATGCAAGGGGTTCTGGAGTTTGCTGAAGTGCTGGTTCAGGGGTGGTTCTTCTATGGCAGCATTGAGCTTGCATGACCGCTGGTCTGAAAAGGGAAGAGCAGCATTCCTTCAGTATAGTGCACTGTACTACTCCCCAAGTTGGTGGTCTTGTTTGAGAAGATTCTGCAGCAGCTGATGAGCGTCTGTGATCTGCTAGTTAGAGAGAATGCCTTAAACATTATAGTGATTTTCTACAGTTAGGCTCTTTAAAATACTCCAAGTATATATTGCCATCTCCACGCTAAACCTTTAGGTGGATCATAAAGTATGTTTTATGACATAAAGACGTGGCTTACGTCATGAAACACATTTCTTTTTTTCTATTTCTGTTTTGGGTTAGAGCTTGTACATTTCCTCACTGCAAATCCTTGTATTGAATTTGTGCAGCAGTGCTGTCCCTAGACTCCCCATCGCAGTAACTGAGGGCTCCACTTTCTTCTGGGACAGCTGCTCTTTCCGCTGACACTTTTATCCATAACACAGGCTTGAAGGAGAGCCCAGGCCTTTTCCAGGAAGCATCACAAGGCTTATCACATGTAGGCTGATTAAAAAAAGAAAATCCTGTTTCTGTAGTATATTTGTGTTGTGCTGCTAATTAAATGGCAGGGCTTGTTTCTTTTCATGACCTCTTGACCCTCAACGAAGAATCAGAGCACCAGAACCATGACAAACAAACCAAACCTCATTAAAAATAATTGAATGCAATCTCTAGAGTAGGAAGGAACAGGCTCTATGACCTGATTCTCAATTGTATCTACTTAGAATTCATAGAATATAATGTCCTTCGAGCAGGAGGTTGGCGGAGATAGGACTATGCTTTTATATAGAAGAGATTGTGTTGCATTCAGTTTTCAGAGCGTGGAGCCGCAACATGCAGATTGAGACACTCCACTTTGCCATGACTACAGGTTTCCTCAGCAGAGTGTTTGCAGCAGAGAGCACTGGTACACTGGAGAGCTCATGATGGGTGTGTCTCCAAGGAGCTCAGATACTGATATAGCCCTGCCGTCTTAAAGGGAGGCTGGCTACTGTTTAATCAGGGAACAGATTAGAACTTCAAGAGTTCATTGGAATGAGCAGAAACAATAGAAGCTCAATTGATTACACGTTACAAGTTAGAAGTGACTCAATGCTTAAAAGTCCTGTGTTATAGATTTCCTGTTTAGGCATGGTTTTCTGTTTAGCTCGAATCTTCCTCAGCTCCCAGAATTGCGTAAATACAAATCATTTTCACATACATAGATTTTCCAAGCGATGT